ACCCTTTTTTTTTTTTTTTTTTTTTTTTTTTTTTTTCCCTTTTTTTCTCTTTTTGAATTAGGTGGTGATAGAAGCATGCCTGGTCAGTCAGGACCAGGCCATGGGATGACTCGAGGAGGGACATCAGGGTAAGAACCTGTCTCAGAATGCTTATAATGCTTTTATAATACCTTGATCTGTATAAGCCTGGATTGGCAAGAGGGGAAAAAACCCAACAAATTAAAGAAACCAACAAATTAGAGAAACACCTTTCAGAGTGTAGGAATGTGCCCCCTGTTGATGGAGTGACAATTATTCCTTGTCTGCTTAAAAAGGCAAAAAGCCCAGAAGTTTCTCTCCCAATTTGATACAAAGACATCTCATAGGACCTTTGGGACTTCACCTCAGACCTGGGGCTGTCCATTGGACAGAGGCCAAGAGGTCCCACCTGGGTAATTCACTAGAAAAGGAAGAGAACAAAGGAAATAATTGCTTTTGTGGGGTGTTTTACCAGGAGCAAGAACCTCTCACCTCTTGTTCAGTTTTTCTCTGTAAGAGCTTTGTTATTTTGCCTTTTGTTAAACCTTTTTCTGTTTCCATCACTACCTCAGAAGCCATCCTGCTAATTTAATTCTGGGCTAATTTCAGCTGTGATGGGTTCTCTGAGAGCTCATAAAACCTGGCTCCAGCAGAACCCATCCTCAGAGACTGCCTGGGCTGTGCCCAAAGTGTCCCTGTTGTAGCATAGCAGTGAACCCTTGAACAGGGAATAATTAGCACTGACTCCATGATTGCAGAGGCTGATTAATCACTTCATTGTACTAATACTATATTCTACTCTTCAGAAAAACCCATCAGTAACAGGAGCCTCCTGGAGCCAGGTCTCATGAGCTCTTGGAGGTCTGTTACACACCCAAGATAGCTCAGCTACCTTTGGAGGCATAAAATCGGCAGGATGGCTCCTATTGCAGTGTTGGAAATAAAAAGGTTTTAATAAAAGGCAAAATAACAAACAGAAAACAGAGAAAAGAGGTTCTTGCTCCTGGTAAAACACCCATGAAAGCCATTAGTTTCTTTGTTCTCTTCTTTTTCTAGTAAATTGCTTAGGCTGGACTTTTTGGCTGCTGTCCAATTGGCTATCCTTAAGTTTGAGGTGAAGTCTCTCAGGTCCTCTGAGGTGTCTTTTCACCTAACTGAGGAGAGAAACTTCTGGCCTCTTCTCCTTTTTAAGGCAACAAAACCAAGGGGCACATCCCTCCACCCCTCACCCACACAGCCCAATACAGCTTTGCCCTACCTGATCACTCAATCCAAACACCATCCCCAGAGTCCAGTTAAGAAATCACCCCTCACTAAACAAATAATAACACATTCCACGTGTGCAGTGGTTCCTCATTTTCCCTGGGCTTTCTCCCCGGCAGGGAGCTGTGTGTGTGTGTGTGCCCAGGGAGCTGTGTGTGTGTGTGTGCCCAGGGAGCTGTGTGTGTGTGTGTGCCCAGGGAGCTGTGTGTGTGCCCAGGGAGCTGTGTGTGTGTGTGCCCAGGGAGCTGTGTGTGTGCCCAGGGAGCGGTGTGCTGTGTGTGTGTGCCCAGGGAGCTGTGTGTGTGTGCCCAGGGAGCTGTGTGTGTGTGCCCAGGGAGCTGTGTGTGTGTGCCCAGGGAGCTGTGTGTGTGTGCCCAGGGAGCTGTGTGTGTGCCCAGGGAGCTGTGTGTGTGCCCAGGGTGGTGTGTGTGTTTGTGCCCAGGGTGGTGTGTGTGTGTGCCCAGGGAGCTGTGTGTGTGCTCAGCCCTCTGTGTGTGTGTGTGCCCAGCCCCTGTGTGTGTGCCCAGCCCGCTGTGTGTGTGTGTCCAGCCCTCGTGTGTGTGTGCCCAGCCCTTCTGTGTGTGTGTGCCCAGCCCTCTGTATGTGTGCTCAACCCAGCTGTGTGTGTGCCCAGCCTGCTCTCTG